ACAGGACGAGTACCATGTTAACATCAGTCAAGGCAGGTGGCTTAGCAACGTTGTCTAACCAAATTCTAGCTAGATTCTAACTAGAATCGTTATTGGTGTCATGATGGGAGCTTTTTCAGACGTGACCAGGAAACAATCCTGCGCCTGCTTTTTTGTCCCTAACAAAGATTTTTTGTAACGCCACGCTGTGAAACTAGGCAGTAAATTCCCCTTTTCACCTTCGGAGACGTTCTTCCAGTAACTCTTAATTTGATAGTCCTTAGAAGGGAAAAGACTGGACTATGCTATCTGAAGGTTTAGGCCCTTTCAAAATGTAGTCCAGTGTTCAGACTTTATGGCCCTTCAAGACACATTAAGTGATGTGGAAAAAAGGTGTGTTACACAGATCCCCACTCTTGAGGACACTAACATGAAGGGGTGCAGAATGAGGCGAGAACTCAGTTGTGAGCTTTGAAATTCACTGCAAGTAATATACACAAGTAGGTGACATACCGGTTGTGCGCAGTCACGTTTTCAGGTACAATCACCCTGCTAGTTATCACATGAGATATCACAACAATCAGCAATCAGTGACAGCCATCTCATGCTCCATTTGTCACAAATTAAATGCTTCCTACCATTACTTATTCAATAGGAAGTATATTTAGCTGATTAGGATGTGTTATTTTGTTACTATTTTATTTGGTGTATGTTTTCCTCTTGTGCATACAGAAATGTGGGCATACAAAGGGAGTAACAAAAAGAAAAAAAAGTTGTAGCTGAATAAGAGGAAAACTAATCACAAAAGAACTCTTTTTTTATATTAAAATTAGCTACGTCAAACACATCATCTACAGTTTCACGGAAGAAAAAATTCTTTATGACAAAGAAGAGTATGCTAATTAATTATAGATGACAGATCAGCAGCAAAGGATGATGACAGGAATTTCTTAACTGATAAGCACTTTATGACCCAATGGATCCAGTTTTATGATATCCTATTAATTATATCCTTCCCACAACCTGTTAGACTCAGAACTGCGATCTTAGCATGCCTATCCGTGTTTGGTGATCCAGTCTGGTGAAAGAGCAAAACTAAAGATATTTAACGCAATTATTCTAGTGGACAAATTAGGTAGTAATGGATTTGTGAATAATTAAAGGTTGCTGCGTTCAACATTACATTGACCAACCTACTGTTTGGCATGTTCCTTGTTTTGCTGATGGGTTTGCACTCTGCACATTAGTGACAGGAAGTACACAGTTACTTGTTATTTCTGAGCAAGGAAACATTATATGACCGAAATGATAAATGATAACAAAATCGACCATGTTGACTTGCAATTTACTGAAGCAATCCAGTGACAAACAGCAATACTAGGAGGAAGTGCTAGAAACAACTGTTGTAGTTGTGAAACGTTTGGAATCTTTTTGATATGTTTAGGTATTTATTTTGATACTTTTATGATATTAGGTCATAGGATCACAGCATAATGGAAATTATTTAGAGAATTTCGAACCATTCTACCGGTGTTGGTGGATATCTCCTACAGAGCATCTGAAGAAATACAAAAATACTAGCAAAGGCAATCCCTTAACTGTGCATGTTTGAAAAGAATTTACTGTACTGATGTGAGAGAGAATTTATTTCCAAACTATGAACAACAAAGAATGCATTCATCCATCCATATGGACTCTACACAGACATATTCTATTGATCAGTCAATTTATGATTTTATGAAGGAAGATCAGTTACCTTGTCTTGGTCAAGAAGCTAAGTATTGGGCAGACGGGAGTGTGAATTTCTTGCACATAAAGATAACCTTCACTGGATTGGCATGGTCAGTCATACAACAATTCTTTAACTATATCAGGACTTGTACAAGGCTGCAGGTCATGGCTAAAACAATAGAACTAACTGATGTTCCCTACAGGGGACAATCCTTAGATTTAGTACCTCTCAAGGCTGCTGGATGAGGCAGGCAATTGCTTTACATTTCAGTTTTATTTAGAACTTATGTACACGCTTGGTTTGGTTTATTTAGCATTGAAATTGATTGGTTTCTCCTCTAGGCCTGAATCATCAAGCTGTGAACCCTTCATGGTCAATTCACCGTGACTATCCAGGCTCAGTGAGAACTATGATGTGATTAAAGTAGCACTTGATTTTTGAGCAGTGATCAAAATCAGCTAAGGCATGAGGCTCTAAGTTTCAGCTTCTTTTTTTTTTAATGGATAGATTGGAAGGCTGTTTTTTTTTTATCATTCATTGGAATTAAATTCTTATCTGTTTCAGATGGACAAGACTACAAGACTGGTCTGTTTTAATACCATCAAATATTTGAAGCTGTGTGTGCAAAATTTGAGACAACCAAACAATCATCAGGGACCAATCATAGGAACTACAGTAGGTGTGCCTGAAACAACAAAATAGTTTATTAGATTTCTAAGGAGCTGTTGGGAAAAGGGATTTTCAAGCAAGCCAGAAGTTTAGAGTGTACTTATCCATTACCAACCTGCTCACTGATAATTTAGCAAGAAGTAAAAGAAGGATATGAAATCATCCACAGTCAGTTTGGTCTCTGTATGACACTGAGGGATAGAAGCAACAAGGAAATAACAGAAGGATGCCACTGCGTCCTAAAAGAAGTTTATTGCATTTCTGAATGTAAAGACTGTAAACCTAACATCCAGGTAACAGGAAATCAGTATTTGAGCTCCTTTCAAAGACAAAGACTAACAAGCTGGATTCAATACTTCGTAAAACTTAAAGTGCTTTGCAGCTTTGCTCGTCTATAGTGTTACCAAACAGGAACGGCTATCAGCCCTGTTGGAAGTTAGAGCTACAAAAAAAATGTGCAGTGTATTGTTGCCCTGCAACTAAAACCAAACTCGCAGTCTCCAGTGATTACTGTGTCTGATATTCTTCTAGAAATTAAGTTTTCAGATACGACCTGTGACTGTACTATCCAGAATCTAGAAAGCAGTATTTCTAACATTAACCAGATAAGCAGGTTTGTTGCAATCAAATTTAGTATTGCATGTAAATCACTGCAGTAATGTTTGGGCACAAAAATACTCAGATCCCCTGGGGGACAGACCTGCAGTCAATCACTCCCCATCCCCTTACAAGGGACATGCATTTAATGGCTGAGCATGAGAACTCTCTGATCACCTGCTGCTTCCAGCTGAGCAATGTTGTTTCCTACAGCTATTCCCCCTTAGGAGGAACTACCTTCCCTTCAGGCGTCATTTTCACCCTCTCTTCCTTTCTGCCTTACTCTCCCTTCCTGTAAGCGATGGGATTAGCCGTCCCATCTGTGTCACCGTCAGAACCTCATAACCAAGACTACATCATAAGAAGAACAGATGGAAAGGGCTGCAGAGTGACCTCACAACTTTCAAGATGCCCTTTAACCATTCCTGTGGAAATCTTTTTCTTGGAGTGAACCTCTGTGCATGCCATAATGTTTCTGTCAGACTCTCAATAAACTACTTAGATAAAATAATAATTGTAAACATTGAGAATAGCAATAATCTGAAACTAAAAATGGAATTATATTTATGTCTAAATAGCGCTTACCAAGGAAAAGGTCTTTAAAGTCCCATATTAAAAAGTCATATATCTCTGGGCACTGCTTTAGTGCGATGACTATGATGTTACATCTTACAAAAGGTTAATTTTCCTTTTCCCAAGTTTTCAGAAGAGAAATATGCTGTTGTTTCTTTAAAATAACAGGAACATTATGATTCAGCAGGGCAAAAGCAATAAAAAAAAAAGAACATTTTTCCTTCTAAATGGCATATTTATACTGTACATAAAAATAAATTAATATTGCAGTGTGCATTGTGGCAATTCAGTCTGATTTTATGCCATTGCTCTCAAGATCCCTGGTCCGTAACATTTCTCTGCTTACAGAATCCTTTTGCATTGGATTTTTATTTTCCTTTGTTCTTCTTTTATGTTTCTCTGCAGCAAATTCAAGATGATGTTCTTTTACTCAGCTTAACTCCTCTGCCTCCCTTCATGATAAAAAGGACCTGTGTCAATAGACACAATTGGCAGTTCAGATGACTACTATGTGACACAAATATCTTTTTCTTATTGTAGCCAGGTTTTTGTATTGCCACTTATCTGTACAGCTGAACTTTCATTGTTACTTCCTAATGCATCTTCACTGACTCAGGCTTTTCAAAGAGAATTAGATGATAACTTCATTGACCATTAACTGCTTTAAGGCTCAGAATGTAGGACAACAGAGGTTTATAGGTCTTGTTTGAAATCAGATGAAAATAATTCTGCAATTTGCCATGAAGCGATGAATATCTCCTTTTAAAACAATAGGATGAAATATGGGGTACGTGTCATAGTCCAGTGGCTCAATCCATAGGTGTCTGGTACTGTCTGCAATGCCCAAGGATCCCTGCCTGGTCTCCAGCTGCCACTGCAAAGGAGCCCAGATCTCCCTGCCGTGCAGATATACTGTATGTCCTTGGTCACCGTGAGTGACATTAGGCACATTTGTGTGGTCAAGTGCATGGAGCCATTAGCATGTCAGTTCTGAATTGCAGAAGTAAAAATAAGATGAAATCTTTGAATTTTAACATCCTAAAGAAGCTTTTTAAAAATGCTGACCTACCTGTCCATCACTGTAATAAATTTCTTTGTAGTTTGTGTGTACAAATCAAAGTCCTATATTCAGTAAAACTGAAACTCATGCTTGTGAATCATGAAGCTTAGGCTGGCTTCAATATTTATAGTAGCTGAATACATTTTGTGTTAGGGGGGCAGGTAGGTGCCATATATCATCAGATACAGTTTCCTTTATGCTCTGGGTTTGAAATAATGCAGAATTCCAAGGATTATGAGCTTTTCTTCTAGAGATTATATTTTGTCTTTGAAATATGGGGTGCAATTCCAGGTCCTTTGGAGTCATTGGAAAGCCATCCTTTGACAAAGAAAAGTTTTTGGATCAGCCTGCTTTTCCTAGAGCCATGCAAAGAACATCTCTTTTACTCACCTGCTTGTTTCAACTACTGTTCAGCTTTGGGGACAAACTTCAGCTCGCTCTTTATGTTCTGAATCTCTGATAAGTTGACAGCAGGGCCTGGAAGTTTCTTAGCTCCTGGGAGATGTTTCTTGTCTTTCTCCTCCTCTGTAGAAGCAGGAACACTCTGCACAAAAGGAAACCAGTCACCTTGCTACTGCTATAGAAATCTCTTGAGCATGAACATAGGTTGCTTATTTGGGAAACACGAAAGGATTTTTTCATACTATATGAGGTCACAACCGCAAGGGGGGAAGAACAGGTGGATTATCTTGTTGGTTGTTGCCTTAAAATGTCTAAACACATTCTGAAAAGAAAATTAGAAGGTGCTTGGTGTAGAGGAGTTTGGATCTTTTTGTAAATGAGTAAGAATTTACAGTGTCAAACCATTAGCAAGAAGTTAATTGAGTGGAGTATTAAAGACAACTCTCAGGTCTTTCATTTTTTTAGTGAAAAAAGCAGAAGAAACATTTTCATCATCTAATCTCTTACAGAGTTTCACAGTTGTTGGTCAATTGTGGAGGAAAAATATCATGCACTTTTGCAACTTTTGAGTCCAGTTACCACTGTAGGTTATGGACCCTAAGACCTCCATCCAAGCTCAGCTTGAGATGATGTTTAATTTTTCTTAACTTCAGTCATAAGACTTCATTTAATATTTGGATTAGGGTAACGCCTAAAGGCTATTCTGCTGACACTGAAACAATGCAGGCTAAATAACAGTTGTTACACAATAGAGAGCACCTCACCTATCCTTCTGATGGACCACAGTATTTCACTTCTTGGTACTTGCTGAATTGTACTACTGCTCCAGGGTGAGGTAGGGCATGTATTTCAGATAATTATATTTTAAACTGAGCAATGTTTTGAAGGTGTAGTTTTCTAGTAGGAAGTTTAAGGTTTTCTAGCCTATTCTGTACTTTTAAATGTTAACATACAAGGGGAATCATGTAGGGTTAGAGGTGAATGAATATTTCTCTGCAAATAATTTTCACAATTAAATTCTGTTTTCTTTTTTAATTACTCTGTGAATGCCTGCTTGGGGTGGGTTTTTGAGTTAATTCAGTTCTTAGATTTCTTAGCTACCATATCTGGAGAGGCTTTTCCTGTGTGTTGACTGTAAATTGTCAATTCCTAATATTTGAAACTCCCATTTTTAAAATTTCAAAGTTATTTGTCAGTTATTACTGGCCAGTAAGACATTTTCTTTCTGTTCACTAATGGACTCCATGTTAACCAGAAAGCGGACTTTCTGCAATGTCAAGCAGCAAGTAAACAGGGAATTTTAGGATACTATCAGGTTCTTCTTATTTGATCTTTAAGAACTTCCTATAAATCATCTTTTATGAGAAAACTAAGCCAACAATTATATTGTTTGGCTTAGTAAATTCATATTATCTTTTTTGCATTTTTTAGCTAATGTGTTATTTTATTTAATACGGGCTAATATTAATTAATAAATGATGCTAGTTTTTCTATTTTGATAATTCAAGATTATTATTAGATTATTAATATCCCGGTAATCCAGCCCCAAATAATATATATACAGAGTGTGTGTGTGTTTGTGTGTGTGTGTGTGTATACTATATATATACTGTGTATATATATACTAAATATAGTCTAATATCTGGCTTAATGAAATAACAAGCTGCAATGGTAGCAAAGTCTAGCAGGGGAATAAGCAAATTGACAGAGAACTCGTTTGGAGGGATGCACAAAAAGGTATCAGTAGTCAAAGACGCTATGAGCTTGTACTGTTTCTTTACACAGTTTTCTTGCACAGCTTGGTAACCTGAATAATCAGAAAAAACAACCAACCTGGAAACCCCGTTCTTCTCTCATTAGTACATAACAGATTCCTGATTTAAAATATTGCTTCAAGCCATCTAATATACCATTTCTTCTTGCAGTATAAATGGTGTGAACTTTGGCCATGTTTTGGAGACCTTACACTCCATAAATTCATGTTAGCTTCCTGCACTAATCTCAGATGTGTGGGACTTACAACTGCACCCCTCCATATGTCCCCCACTATGTGTGCAATGCACAGCTGAGATTAGAACTTGGCCTTCAGTTGTACTGAAGGAAGTCTGAAGAGCGACGTAGATGCGTGACAAGAATAAGCAAATACATGCAAGGAAATGCTCTGACCGAACCAGGAGTGTTATTTTCTGAAATTTCCACCTCCTGTTTCTTTCGCGTGTTAACATGTTCTCTCCTTTGACCTCCAGATATATGCGTTCCCTCTGACTGCACCAGACCTTTGAATAAGACCTGTATTTCCTTCATTTCCTTTGCCAAGGTTTTAAAATGCGGTGAAATTCACTAAGGATTGTTAGCAAGGTATGTTTGTCAAAAGCTGATCTAACGAATCATGGGCTACATTGCAAAAATTTAACAAGATGAAGAAGCTGAAAAGAGAAGTCTGCTGGTAGCATTTTTATTCTATTTCTGTTACAAGATATTACTCTGTAGTTGTTACTCCCATTAGTTTGGTTGAATATTGGCTATAAAATCCAGGAACTTTCATTCCATAATATATGTCTCATATATAGTATTCACATAATTGAAAAGCAAGGCAATATTCAATTACCCAACCAAATCTAATTATCAGCACTAGTCATTTATTTTATTTCTCAAGTACTACCAGACTTCACACATACTATATTAGTTTCTGCTTAGTAACATGCATTCCTTCACCAGTTTAATTACTTTAGAAAGAATATATTTTGATTTCTTTTCAGGGGTGAAAGCCACAATATGTGTTCAAGGTCACTTTGTATGCTCTTTCTTCAAAAAATATCTTCTTAAGAAAATAGTTAAACCAGTCTGGTTTTGATTTCTCCAGAAAATTTCTCTGTAAACAGAGCACTATTTTTAAGAAGCAAATTCAGAATCAGAAAAATTCTGTCTTATTTAGATAGCAAAGGAAGAATTAGCTACTGTGTAACTAAGACTGCACATGTGTAGCACATGTACTACAACAGGTGGGAAGGAGCTGATTATTTGTCCAAAATTAATATGGGTGTTTCTTATTCGGGGTTGAATCACTGGCACTGCTGTTGTATGCCTCGAGTAAAGTGGTTAATTACAATCTATCTCCTTCGTGGTCTTTGTGGCTCTGCTCTGTGCCAGGGCCACCTCCCTTCAACCAAGACGGTTTAGGTTGGTTCACATGGCCATGAGTCCATGCAACTGAGTCTTGCTGGAGCCAGCCTGGCTGTACAGGATCGGTTTGAGTGCTCTCTGCCATTGGATCCAAGAAGCACCGTGTGGAGACATGCGAGGCAGTTCTGGCCCAGCGGGACCTCTTCTGAGCTGGGGATTATAAGGGCTGCCCAAACTAAGCTAACTGAGTAAGAAGCCACAAGCCCCCAGGCTAACTCGGAGGTGTTCTTTAGTTGGAGTACCCCTCTACCTTGTTTATCCACAGCTGGTTTTCAGTTTTATTTATTATAAAAGTGCATGGTGAATAAAATGCTTTAATATCATCCACAAATAAGACATCTATGTTTATTCACAGCCTTTGTGATCAATGGCCAAAAGCGCTCAGTTAGTTAGGTATAAATTTGGCTTCGTATTCAGTACTCCCTATGAAACATAGGCATGAAAACACAGAATTTGATCTGCAAAAAGAGTATTTTTCACATCTGTGCAGGTAAATGGATTTGCAGTTTCAGCTTTTAATTTGCAAATGTATGGTCTTCGTGCTCTATTTCTACTTGCTGATATATATTCCAAAAAAGATCTCCAAATGTCAGCTTTTGAAAACCTGTTCCAATATTGTTATCTGTAACAACACGCTACACCACAGGGCAGCAGGCAGTAAAGGATTCTTTCAATGCCTTGCTATATCTTTTCCTTCTGTATTTCATCAACTCTAGTCTAGATAAATACTGTTGGTAAAACCCTGGCTCTCCTTCCTGACAGTAGTTACCACCCCATTATTAAAGTAGAGCTATACATCCTCGAAGTAGTTTAAATTACTATAGATGCGCTGGCTTCAAAAAAGGAATTATGTATATATGAAGCGTCTTGTAGGTGGCCAGTTATTTCCATGAGTCATCAGTATATGAATAGCTGTGGTACTTAAGACCGGTATATTGTGCTACAAGAATGATTTAAAAGGCTTTTGTACATTAACCTCAGGGACTTTCTGGGAAAAAAAATAAAAAAATGCCTTTTCTTACCTCCTCCACTTCAGGTGTAAATTCTTTTCTTTTGTGAGGGTGGCCTGCACCAGGTCGAAATGCTCCCATGGGGATGTTAATATTAGCCTGCGAGAAGAAAATTATGATATATGTTACAGTGATTGCTAAATAAATGTATAGTTGGTAATGACAAAACTTTTAAGGAATGCACCAAGAGTACAGACATTATCATAGTTTCTGAGCGCTTATGCCCTCAGTGTATGCATCATCACAACACTCCCATGGGAAAGAGAAATGCTTTCATCTCCGCTTTAAAGACGCAAAGTGAAAATACAAAGCTACCTTGAAAGCTTTTGAAGTTCTGCATTTTTGTCTAATGCTCCCTGACTTCACTGGACTTTAAATAAGTGGACTAGACAGCAAAGTGTCTTTAGGGATCTGGTCAAGGTCAAACAGTAAGTAAGTAACAGAGTGAGGATTTAAGTATAAATCACCCAAATCCCACAATAACACCCAAACCACTGGAATGCTCTTCCCAAGCAGTGACACCAAGTCTGACTTTGTTTAATCGTAAGTATTTAGGAAGGAAAGCTGTATTAAGCTAACTTGAGCTAGTACTGTTTAAAATGTGATTTTGTGGGCAAAATTCACCCACAGGGGCTACAAAGTGCAAATTGCTTTGACATAGCACTGTGTCTCTCCATGGCAGAGAGGATCCTTCAGCGGGAAAAGGCAGGGCAGCTCTCTGAAGCTCCAGGTCCAGCAGAGGTTTGCCCAGCCACCTCAGCCCCATCTGCAGCAGGAGTCCTACAGGGGTCACTAGGCACAGCAGGCTGGTCCTGGTCAAAAACCTGACAGATGACTAGCCCCCTAGGTCTTAACAAACTTTCTCCAGAATGGTAACAGTATGTCTGAAGTGGTTTGATTTGTTGGCTTTGTGGGACGTCAGATAGCCAGTAGCCATAACAAAAATGGGTTTTAGAATAGATGTCTTCAAAGTAAATATTTTTGAAAAAAGAATGACCAAAAACATTGCTTATAAAAGAGCAGCTAAAATGTATCTATCTCCTGACGTGACCCAGCCTGGATTATTTTAAAAGTCAAATGGCACGATCAACTAAATGCACAATTTATACCTATTCTTATCTCGTGATCTCAGAAGAGCAGCTGCTCCTGCGAAATATCATGACTCCCACTTGTAAAACCAGCGGGTGCACTGGTAATGTTATTGAGCGGAAACAGAGAAACTTCAAACAGTGAGCTGTTTTATTGTAGTTTGCCATCTGACTGATTTGCATAAAATGAAGTTGAATAATCCCATCCTGTTTAAATCATGGTCCTGCAGATCATGCTCCATGTTGGGTAACCGCAATAAAACCAACTCCTGTTTTTGTTAACAACAAATGTTCTGAAAGCTGTAATCAAACACTAACAAAATAAAGAAACCATTTGCTGAGAAATATGCACCTTTCCTTTTATCCTTTTTTTTTTCACTATTATTTATGCAAGCTAATGTTGTCATTTCAGTGGGCCTGGCTATTCTTTGTGAGACCAAGTATTTTATAGACAACTTAGGTATTCATTTCATATGCCTTTTCATTGAGCATTAGTTTAGGTACTGGGAAACCTTTCATCTGCACGTATTAAATTCCCAGGAGACGGGGTATTTTCAACATCGCGGTACTTAACCCAGCTCATTTTCCAGGGGGAAAAAACAGCTTTGCCATTCTTATTTTACACCTCTCCCCAGCCAGGCTCTGTGCATCGACTCAGCTGCTTTTTCTGGAATAAAAAAAAGTTTGTGCACCTTACAGCTAGTGTGGTTGAACAAGCTTGCAGATTTGAAACATTAAAGTTATTCCTGAGAGAGATCTCTCTTCTTGGTACTCTTTCTGAACTTAGGCTTTCCACGCCCTTGGAGTCGGTAGTAGTCAGCCTTTTACAGCCACCCAAGACGTAACACAAAACTGTAATTCTGGTACCTGTTCCTTGCATTTCCTACTGTCATTGACAGACTAACTGCGACTAAAAGGGGTCGAGCAAACAAAAATGAACTGCTAAGTGCCAGACCGCTAATTAAATTAAATTCTTTGGTCTGCTTGAGCATTTCATAGCAATCTGTGTCACACTAAATTGGTTTGAAGTATTTTGTCTGCTGTAAGTGCATTCACTTCCGAGTTTGCACAAGATGTACACAGACACTAAATATTAACTTGGTATAAAACGAGCAGCCTTTAAAACATAGTTTTACACTGCCCGGATCTGCTAGCATAGACTATATGATAAAATATTTCTAGGATGACGTAAAAGCATGACTAATTTCCTAAGGGTTACCAAAAAGAGATACTAGAATCCTGAGCTATAACTCTCCCTTGTTCCTTTCCTGTGGATGAGCAGCCATGTAACTGGTGAATACTGCACTAAATTCTGCAGGCAAATGTAGCTTTGTGAGGACTGCGTTGTGCTGAGACCAGCACAAGCTTACAGTTCTGCTTTTAAAATCCTCTTGGATATTCTTGTCACCTGTCTGCCGGGATGGAGATACAAGCCGCAGTGACCTCTCCCTCCCTCCCCAACCCAGTGAAAGGCAAAAACCTGGAACATTTTTTGTTCCAGACTTCTGAAGCTGTAAATTATAAATGCTTTAGACAGATTTTGTAAGTGAGATTATTGTTTTTAATCATATTAATTATTAAAATTATTGGGTTAGTATCTTCCTTTGTTTTTGGATAGTGCCTACCATATTTTGGATGTCACTGCAGTTTTTCATGAGTGGAAATGTGCACAGGTATATTGTACTAAGATATTCCTGAAAGGACCAAAGGAAAAATATTTGTCAGTGTATATTGCTGGCTTGACTCCATTAAAGGGGTACTTAGAGATTTGTACAAGTTCTTCCTTCTGTTTAATAGAGACAAGGTACCTATATTAGGAACTGTTCTGTTCTGTATTACCAGTAGTTTAGGCTGTTATAGACAGCTTCTTCATAGTATCATAGCTGTTCCTAACTGTCCAGAAGGCAGACTGAGGAAGCTGAAAAGCTACTTGCGTATAATCATGTCCAAAGTAGGGAAAATAGGGAACTACAGAGAGCTCTTGAACATAATTCAGGGAAAACAAAAAAATCCCTCACCCTTATCTGTGGGAAAAGATGAGAGTGGTATCTGTAGGGAGAATAACTGTCAGCTAGAGCTAGACAAACCTTTTACACCCTGACGGGGAGAGGGCAGTTCAGGTGTGGCTCCAGTGTTGTGTGAGCAGCAATGAATATTACCAGGACTTAATACTACTTTGGTCATTTATCACCCAGGAGCCTCTCCTGGGAACCAGTTGCTCCCCTTAACTCTCCCGTGTTTGTATCTAGTGGCTGTTGGCACGTGAAGATTTTAGTGTATATCTCGTGAGGTCAGAAAGGAGTACCCAGAGATACTTCAGTCAATACGGATTCATTATATTTCCATTGTTGTAGCATGATGTATATTCTCCAGGGGATGTAGGTCCTACTGTAATAGCATATAATAGCAAAGGATCATGAATCACAACGTACAAAATTAATCTGACATTCTGAGTCATGGTTCTGAGAATACTCAAAGTGTAATAGGCATCTCTTCAAGTGCAAGTTTCCCTGCCGGAGCAACCTCTGACATAGAGTTTAAAAGATTTATTGTAAAGTCTGTGCAGTAATTTATTTTCCAACGGAAAAGTTTTCATTGAAAATTTTTAAGTTTCTTAAAATAGTAAACTTAGTGCTTAAACTTAATGCTTTAAAAGCACCTTTTTAATGGACAAACTTGAAGCAATTTTTACATTTAGAAGTTGGAAAGCCATCATAAATCTGAGAAAGGAATCACTATCTACTTCTTTTCTTTACAGAAAAAGGTAAACTAAATTCATTCCTTAAAAATGGTTGTATGTTTCCATGAAACTTAGATGTAAAATGTACATACTTTTGAGTTATATATTATCTACAGTTTTTCACTACTCATACAAATTTTTCCAAAGTTGGTATACAAGACAAAATTTTGAACTGAGTGAAACCAATTGCAAACTTTCACTGATTTCAACAGAATTACAGTGCAGTAGCTTGCATACCTTTTCCAGTATACTTGATGATTACAATCAGAATTAGCATCTACACAGCACTTTGCAACTTCAGTATGCTATCTGGCATACTAAGTAATTAATCTTCTTAATACCCTAATCTATTAAGTTGGTACTACCTTGGTGTAAGAGAGGGCAGATCAGACTTCAGAAATTCTGTTTTGGGTTCTTATGTAACTTCAAGGGAACTTGAACTCATGGCAAAAAATTGGATTGCAAATGCATTTAGCAAAATACATACAAATATTGTAAAATTCAGGAGTTATTTTGTCCTTTTGATAAGAATTAGTGATAGGATGAGTTTAATCCATTGTTAAGCTATTTCAAAATGATGCTAGGAAAATTCTCCAATTGCTCCTTTTACAGATGTATGGCAACCAGCTTCATCCATATGTGCATACCCCATTTGAGGGGATATGAGATATATAATTTTTTTTAATTAGAATATTAACATTTTATTCTAGCTTTTACATAAAATACTTTATTAAGGAAATACTGGAGATATATATTTATTCTCAAAGAGATGTAGACATGAAAAATATTAATAGATATGCCATCATTTTAGCCTGTAGTTCTAGCAAAATTATATTAATTCTATAGACAATTCAATAGTTGCAACAATAAGTTTTACTCATAATGCTGACTGGCTATGCAGATGTATGTTTTACTTAGCTGATCCGCCAACAAACGTAACTTAACATGGGAAAGACCATATAAGCAAGCAAGCAACCTAACTGACCCATTCTTTTCTCAGCTCAGATCATAGGACAATCTTCAGGTAAACATTTCTGAGTGCTTTCACATCTACCAAGCTTTTTCACTTCAAAGAAATAATGCCCAGTTAGCATTTCTGTGCTGTTTTATACAAACAATATGCAGTCTGTCAAGCAACAGAGGTTGAGCTTTATTATTTTCTTATATTAGAAACATAAATACTGTCTCTTACCTGAATGGCTTTGACATGTGATGCTGGCTGTTTTGACATTTTTAAGAGAGTCGTATCCCTGCAAGCAAAATGGGAAAGTGTTACAGGCTATGACATTCTGATAGGTAAGGGAGATAAGCTAGAACTTAACCCATGCCGCTTCTTGACAGGCATCCATTTCAACTGCCCATCTCCTGTTTCTGTCTCAGTTTCAGAGTTGCTTAGTTATTCCTCCCAAATACCTGAAGGGGACAGAACACCTGAGCTTCCCCAATTAATCTTTCATAGCCACAAATGGAGCTATACCTTTCTCATTAAAAACAATAATGAGTAGAGATAAGAAATCTTTCAAATATTAATGGCATTGTAAAATGAGCAAGAATTAAAGGAAATATTTGAGGATAAACAATGCATGACTGCCTCTATCACACTATGTATTTGGGAATTATTAGAACTCTAAACCTTCTTTCGAATGAAATGTAACTCCCTACAAAGTACATTGATAAATGCAGACATAACCATCTTCTGATCCTTTTCAGATCCTTGAAAATCTCTAATCTATACAGACTGAAAATGATTAAGATGGTTAAACTGTAAAGGTCTCTTTGACAATTGCTAGGGCACAAAGAAGCCCCTCTTCAATATAGCTCCATTAATTTTCTTTAGCAATAAGATAAAAAAGAACAAAGTTTTTCATAACATTTTACGTAGCTAAAAATATAGACTGATACAGAATTGATACACAATAACAAAGGCAAACACACAAAAGTCAACGGATTCCGTAAAGGTCAAATAAAAAATAAGCTTAAATTTTTACTAGCAGCTTAACTGAAATATCCCCTTGGCCTTTTACTGACTTCCACTGAGATTTAGGACTTTAACCGGACTAGATCGTCATCAAACTCTGGGTATCTAACCTATCTCACTACAATGAAAAGCAAGATAGTAAAGTTAAAAGGTGAGAAATAAGTATATGTTCACTGGAGAATTCATCGACAACAACCAAATTACAGCACATTTCGGCTACAATATTTTACCTGAGATCAGAAAGATGTCTGAGGAAAGCAAAAAATGACGTAGGAGAGAACAGTAGAAATATACTGAGAAATCAAAAGTGGGTCAAAGGCTTTGGTACAGCGAGGAGTTTAACTGTCCCACTGAAGCAGGGTCAAAGAAGAGTGTAGGATGGCTCCAGCCTGGAAGATCAGCCTGAAACCGTATCGCTCCAGCTGCAGGCAAGATTTGTCCTTGCCTACTCTCAGCTTTATGCGAGAGCTTTAAAGCCGTGTAGGATTCTGACCAGGAGAACTTAGAGTAAAAATGACCTGCCATTAGAGGTCTCTCTCTGATCGCACACCCAGCTGCAGAGAGTGCTGGCCAAACCACCACAGCGCAAGGCGGAGGACATGGTCTTCACAGGTGGCTTCAGCTTTAAATTGGTTCAGCTAAATCGGTAAATCGGCACAAAATCCCACCACACAAAATCAAAACAGCATGCTCCCAGGGCATTTTACATTGTAGTTATAACTTAAAACCAAAGGCAGTTTAAACTTCAGAATTTGGGGAATTTTGGGGAAGAAATGCCAGCCACTGAAGTTCGTCACAAAACTCACGTGGATTTCAATAAGTCAAAATTTCAGGCAAAGTTTTATTGCACTCTCTTTCTTTCCTTTTTAAAAATCTCTACTATGCATAGAAAAAAGCATTTTCTCATGACTGCTACACTCTTATACTCATGCGCTGTGCTCTTCATCGCTGGTCATATTCCAAGGTTAAATATAAAACAATTCCCCAGTTTACTGGAAAGAAAGGATTCATAATACAGAAAAGTTTAATTAATTTTTCTTATCATCTTTTCCTCTTTCTAATCAGAACGAAGAATGGAAACAAAAGCACGAGCATGGGAAATTAACATAAAACATTTTAAAACACAGTGGATCTGTTTTATAAACACTGTCACAAAGAAATTCAAGCTACGATTTCTACTATGTGCTTAATGTACTCCTCCATCTTGCGTGTTTATGCATTTCAGAAAACTGATGCATGCTTCTTTGGCCCCCTAAAGCTAAATGGGCAAGGATTTACGCCCAGTCTCTGCTTTAAAGCAAGCACAGCGCTAACATCCCTCAGTGAGCCGCTTGGCGTTCACGTGAAGGCTGTGTTCAAAACGATTGCAATCAGACACTGGCTCCTAAAGACAGATGCATGATACAATTGTGTAGGACTCCTTTTGGAGGAGGTGATTTTCCTACCAGTTCGTGCTGTCCTCATTACTGCCACAGAAATCAGGACAGCAGCACGCTACTGAGTAAAAATAGACGCTCCTCTCTGGCTCTGTTCCCTTCCCTCCATTTCCTGAGCTTCCCTCTAGAACAGCACTGACCATCAATCACAGGAAAATAAACCTGAGATTACAGATGCACCTATTACCTCCTTTGTATAAATACCTTTTCTCTTTCACCACGTCTCAGAGCGAGTTGAGACCACTATGCAGCTTACATTATTTCTGGGATCCTAACCACGGCTGCAAACTTGAAGAAATTACTCCTCACAGTAATTCCCACCTCAGAATTTCACATGTAACCCCTCACAGAAACGCAACACCCAGAGCCTTATTCCCCAGTGTCTTTTTGGCCTCCCCGCACCTTACCTTTTACCTTTTATGGTCTGCATGCAGAGCCAAACTTAGAAAGCAATGCCAACGCTAGTTCAGTTTGGAGCTATTTAATGCGGACTTCCAACGCAAATTCACTTGCTTTCCTTACTTCATAGTGGGAATACTCATGAACAGGACTACTTGACAGACTGAAAGAAATCAGTGTTTTGAGAAGAACCCTTAAAAAACAAAGAACCTATCTTCTCTCCCTCTGCTAAAAATAATTTCTGAAAGGAGTGCAGAAAGATAATAAGCTTATTCAATTTGCTTTAAATTCGATGTGCTATCACAATACCGTCTTTTGTAATCTGGACAAAAGATGTACACTAGTATATAGGCAACAGAAAGAGCCCTCCCCCCAGCTGAAAGCTGTCCTTTCCCCCACTGCTGTACTTACGGCATCAAGCACATGGGTATTTTGGACAGAGAACTGCAGTGTATTATCTTATAAAAAGGCTTTGACAGGAACTGCACTACTGTGAAACCCAGTTACTATGAAGAAGGAAGAGAAGCCCCCACTTTGGAGCTTCCAGACTGTCATACAAAACTTACTACATGCTCTAGGCAAGTGCAATACTATTTTCTAAAATGCAGTTGTCTCCCCTACAGTTACATGTTAAGCTTGCAGTGAAAGAACCCCTCTCTCACCACCAAAACCCCAACGTAATATTTCACTCACTATAACAAACATACAGAAAACACTAAGCATGTACATATGTACTACACTAGTCAAGCTACTACACAGTTATGCTTCTTATGAGTCACTGGGTATTTAAGTCGCCTTCTGTTTTAAATCTTTTAAGATCCCCAGAGACTATAAAGCAATAACAATCTGCTCTGAACACGTTGATATGCTGCACAAGACATTAAAATAAGCAGAAACCCATAACCATTGCAGTCACCTCACAGCCAGCTAGTAACGAGTTTTCATAAAGAGTCTTTCAAGCTATAATTGACCCCTTCAAGATTAGCTTATTTACTTATATAAGAAAAGTTCCAAACCGTCAAGTGAGTATATACACCTCCTTTTGATGCCGAAAGAGGTGCCTTCTTCTATCAGCTGAGATATTGACTGTGATCCTTTTAATGAGTCTGAAATAGCTCCGATGCTTTCAGCCTGGATGGCACTGAGAGCTGCTCCAGGCTGGAGGGGAACTCAGTTTAGAAGCAAAGTGTAAAAGAGAATTCCTGTCATAGCTTCCAGTTGTTCTTCCTAAATATAGCCTTTGATTCGCCCTGTAACTTGGTCCCCTGTGACACCTGACCATCGTAAAACCAGGGCTCAAGTGTCAAGCAGTAGGTGTTGAAGAAACACACCTTTGGGTCCTTTTCCTGCCCTCCCTGTCCCTGCAGTTCTGGGGCTTTTCACAAGCGTGAGGCATATGATGGTAGAAGGTAATGCATAACCTGAAACTTTTCCTGCACTCTTCGGGGCAGAGCGTACCTCCCTACTGCCACGCTGGGAAAGGAAATTATGAAGACATAATTATGAAGAAGTCACCTCAGTGGGACTAACTAGCGAGGCGAATGCCACACCAACGTGACTGTCTCATTGCTGGATTGGGTGCGAACTCACTCAGCGGCAGCCCTGGGGTCTTGGCATAGCATCCTTTGCACAGGACAGCCATGCTCATAGGGAGGAGTCCTGAAAATGTGAGGCTGTAGCTGCTATTACTTGAATGTTAGGGGATGCGGGTGAAGAAAAGCTTAAGAAAGAGTGGGGGGGGGAGTTGCTATAGTTAATATGAGAAGTGAACCATAATTATACAATTGTGCTGCACACGCTACCTGTAAGTGCTGTCTCTGGTGCAGGCTACCGAAGGAGACCACTCATTGCAAGTCGTGCGGGGCGCTGCACAAGTCCAGTGTGGGCACAGTCTCTGATTTCCGTCCCCAGAAATGCAGCTTCCAGTTCACTGCCACTTCAGAGAAGCGGGATTTCCTCTTCAGTCCTTCCTCTGCCGAAGCTGCTCTCCACCTGACCCATGATGCTAACGGTGAGAGCAGCAGTGTCCTCATTGGTGATGCCATACAGGCTACTCGCTGCACCGCTTACTGGGCAAGGACACTTCTGTTTCAGAGCTACTTCTAAGAGAAGATCAACAATTTTCAAAAAAAAGATGCTTGTAACAACTAACAGTTGGGATAATGATTTCAGGGATGATTTCCTTTGACGTTAGCTTATTTGTCCCATCGTTCTTTTCATTTCAAATATCTCAGGGAGGAAGATGACCTCATAACAAGGCTCACAGACCTGTGTGTTGCCTAGAATGGAAGAGTTTGCTCTGTTATGGTCTAAGGTTACGCTTTCCAGGTGATTGAGACAATCTTGAAGCAAAGTAGGGGTCGGATGAACAACCCTCTTTTGAAGGTCCACATTTACATCAAAAGTATTAGGGGAGAACAAGAGAAAAGAGAGGAGATACTTGTGGTCTTGTACATGAATTTATTTCAATGTATATTACAGCAATCATATTACGAATCAGCTTTGGGATACAAGAAGCATACACAGTTCTTTCTTCCATGTGTGATTAATTCAATAAAGGTTCTACAGTTCAAACTAAGCCATTGTTTACACTTATAGTCCCACTGTCTGGCAAATATGCCTGAGTAATACCTGCTCAACACTGTCCCCTCCAATAGATTTTCACAGCAGTGACAAGTGATCCAACAGACAAATTTATTGATGCATAAATAGGAAGAGAATCTACTTGTGTCACACACCTAACATCCATAAAATATCACACCTAAATTGTATTAAATTATTGGGACAAAAGGAATAAACTCAAATTTTATCATTAATATCAGAAAATGTAGCACTGAGTACATTTGTCAAGAGAAAAATGGACATTTTTACAACTATTTTGCAGAGTACCATTGCCCTTGGATAACCACTGGTATGCACAGTCTCATAACCTATAGATTCATCTACTAAATGCAACAGCAGATGATTTAATAAGTAAGTAATGAGGTACATGTGTATTTCAGGTGAAGGATTCAAAGTCTGTCTGCTAGGGCCAGAAAACAGTACATTAACACACATTATATAAAATTATCTTAGGTACTGAGATCCAAAGGACATAGTAACAAAGTATTTATTTGAAGCAGAATGCCTATACAGTTCGAAACATATTGTCGTTGCTGCGCATTCCTAGAAGCTTGTCTAATTAGCATGCTTCCTAGAACAGCTTATTAGTGTTGAAAATGAAGTTGATGGTTAACAGAAACACGTGTGTACCTTACTTGCTGACTGAGATATTTCACTGTATAATGTCAGAATTGTTTCTTTAGTCTGTTACTATTTAATACGCTTACTTAAATATTTTGCTTTTTGAGAATCCTCATTGGCACAGTTACCACTTTCCTGAGGCTCCCAAAAGAAAAATAATGTTTCTATTACAGCCCAAAAATGTTTTAGTGTAATACAAACAACATTATACAATTGAAAATGCAAGTCAACAAAGGAATAGGCACAACGCAGCTCACTTGAAATAAGATTTCTTTAAACTAAAAGGTTAAAAAAATACATTCCTGAAGTTTTGCTTCAAATTATCAGGTAATAGTAGCATATTACAGATCTTTGGCAGTGCAAAACCTTGTTTTCCTATCCTAATTTTAGCTCACTAAATTATAGTTTGTTACCAAGTAAAAAGAGTAGCCTCAGAATACGATGTATTTGGTTAATTAATTCGTATCACTATCATCATTTGAACTGTTTTGCAAAGAAGATGGAAATTTCAGCTGCAGTGCAAGATAGACTGTTCTCTTCTTTCAACACATTTATGTTTGAAAGAGTTACTGACATTTAAAAAATCACAATTATGACTAAGATTAAAAAATAAGAAACCTGCTATCAGATAGATTATCAAAAGACTAAGATTAGAGGATCTTGGAAAGTAAAGAACACCATCCATTTTCTAACTCCTACAAATTTTGTTTGGGCTCCTTTCCATCAGTAAAGATGTTTCTATTCCATGTGACAATGATTTAGCTAAGAGATAAAATGTTAGTAGTGGTACCCAGTCATATGAGATTAGTCAGACTACAGAAATTCAAAATACACAGGAGCTAGCAATTACCAGGGCACCAGAGGCCATTCTTGCTTTAAGCTGAAAATAACCTTGAATCCTAGCATGCTGGAAGAATGACAAGACCTCAGCTTTTACTGTCAAAAAAATGCTGTTTAAAGTATGTAAAACATATGTGATTGGTTCTTCCAGTTTCCCCCAATCTATATGAATGCGTGTTCATATGAAGAAAAATCCAAGCACTTTCTCCTGAGTTTCTACTTGTACAGCTACGCCAGCAACAATGACATCAGGCTATTTAAATAATGAATGGCAAAAAATAGCGTGCAAAAATGTTTGCTATTATCTAATGGACAGGAAATCAACAAACATATCTAAATTAGCTGGTTGTGTTTCTGTGACATTTCTGAGCTGCTAAATATTAATTCAACTCTTGCATGTTCTCTTTTCCATATAAAAGCATAGTGATTATTATCACAGACTGTTCCATCAAGAAATAATTAGCCTTGTATTAAGAAGATAGTCTCATTAGAGGCTGCCAGTGACCTTGTTCTAAATTCCAGAGTTCCAGCATCTTTTAATAGCTCTGCTAGCATCATCTGAGCTCTAAGAATTTTTATTAAGCTCTAAAAATTGCATTATGTTATGTTCTAACACAAATGTTAGAACATTATAGCTTTGACCACTGCATTACTCAAAAGCCATATTCTCTGCTGCTTTGTAGTCTGTGCGCAACAATAAAATACTCACTTACCAAAATGTTTTGAGCAACTGACATGTGATGAGGATGTACAAACAACAAATTTGTTTCCATTGGAGCCACTATACCTGGCAAAGCCAGCTAGTACCACAAGAATGAGCAAGGGTACTGGCAGATTTTGAAGGAAATATGAATTTTAAACAACATGCTGATTTTATAAACATCCTGCCTGCATTACAGCAAATGATGCTATAATGATTCAGCATCACTTGGAAAAGAAACATAACATTGCACCATCACATTTTGTTCTGGACAAAAAAGTTTGACAAAATAG